CGGATCCACAACATGATGGGGGCTTGGTAATTCCTCCATATTCTATCATCCTCCAATCCTTTATCCAGTAAGATTCACAACTCATTTATCCATTCTTTTGCATTTTCAAATATACACCACTCAGTTCCCGTTGTTCTTGCAATGTATTTGGTAATCTCCTCATCCTTTCCACTCCTAACCTCTACCTTACTCAGCCTTTTTCGTTTTAGATATTTAACTATCTACACTCTTGTCCTCGATAGACCTCAATGGATCAAAGACAGGTGGACTGCAACTGTTTAGTTAGCTTGGACAACGACGGTTAGTATGTTGTCCGTAGACTTGTGATGTGGTCGGACGACTAAAGTGACTTGCGAAGGATCCGGGCAGGTCGAGATGACAAAAAGGGTGTGTGTGATGGTGTGGACAGGGGTAATGATGATGAGGGATGTGTCGGATGTAAGTAGTATGTCAAGAAGAGGTCTTTTGTGAGTGACAAATAATATTTTGATCCTTGAGAAAAGGAAAACTACAAACTACAAATGGCCTCCTTATATCCTTTTCTGAGGGATTTGTGATGCGCAAACTCGTCGTATGAATTCAGAATCATCCGGGTTGATATCATGTGGATTCACACTGATATCATGTGGATTCTTCCCGGAATCAGGTGAGTCCATGCAGACTCGTATGAATTCTGGTGAGTTCATGACGGTTTCACACGATATTCAGGTGATTTCTGACTGAACCCATATGGGTTCAGGTGTATTCATGGTGAACACGTATGATATCATGGTGATATCACATGTACTGATATGAATTCATTGGAACTCATATTGAAGTCGCATGAATTCAGTTGGAATGTGTTGAAATCACGTGAACTCGGGTCACGCTCGGTAGAGTCGTGACAGCTACCATATAAATCAAGATACATCGCCATCAGGAAAAACCCCTAGATAGAGTGACTACGCCGAAGTACGTCACAGTTACATTCCTTTCGACGTCTGTGCCCTACTGGTTGGGTGAGACATCGAGTCAGAAGCATCAAGTCAGCCGAGGTTCATCGACCGTTGGTCTATTAGGAAGAAGTTATTAAACGGCCGTGACAGTTACCCCGTAACAGTTCCTCAAGAGTCGTACATAGAAGTCATACTCTGCCTACCCGTTCCCGTCTCCGCTTCACTAATCCCGCTACGGCATCGTCCGTTCTCCTTTCATACCTAATTGCTATTCCTTTGTCCTGCTATACTTTTCCTTCATCTCTGTGTCCCTCATCTATCTCTGTCTTCCTTCGGCTTTCCGCTCCATATAGTTTCCCATCTTTACTCCGTAGATTTTGGTATCACTCCGCTCCCCTTTTAGTATATAGAAACAGCCCTTTTTCGTAGATGTCTTGTCAAATGTATTTTCTCATCACTTAGCAAATCTTCTGCCACTTGATCTCATCGGCTTATAGTCTCTTCAATCCACGACATCACTAGACTATAAACTACATCACTAGGTCTGTTCCCTGCAAGACCCTATAGCCATAGCTCATAGACGCAGACTATTTCCAACGTCTGGTCCTGGCAGGTAGGCTTCAGAGTCCATCCAGGGGCTCTGCACTAATTATTCACACATCTGCCCTTTCAACACTGGTGGTTTGATCAGAGAGAGTCACCTTCTGTCAAGACCAGACCGAAGGTCGAAGGATCTGTGTTGAGGGTGATAAGCTACTTGTAGGGACTTGGACTAGTTGCGAGATGATGCGAGGATCGAAGCAAGTAAGTCACGGCCGTCGATTAACTTCTTCCTAATAGACCAACGGTCGACGAATCTCGGCTAACTTGACGCTTCAGACTCAATGTCTCGCCCAACCAGGAGGGCGCAGACGTTGAAAGGAGTGTAAATACGGCGTACTTTGACGCAGTTACTCTATCTAGGGTTTTTTTTACTGATGGCGATGTATCTCAATTTAATTGTAGCTATCTCTATCAATCTTTCACTACTGACAATAATCAAGGATTGCTGAAGAACTTCAGCTATCTTCCCAGCTAATATTATCTACTCCTCCTAGACGTTCACCCAACCCTCTTGCGCTTTGACGTACTTCAACGCACTTTGTCTAACTTCCCCGAGTCCCCGGCCATACTTCTCCCCCCTTTGACTAACTCCGCCTAACATCGCCGCAGTTCTGTTCCCATTGTCCCTACTTAGCCTAACTCCGTCTAACTTCACCGCACTTTGCCGTCCTTATGCTCCAGACCCCTGTATACCTTATTCTCCCGTTGTACTTTGCCGTAGTTGGTCTCAGATGTCCTAGGTTACGTGTAGGGTGAAGAGTTAAGATGTGATAGGGATTTTGATGGTCAAAGGAGGGTTGTTGATGGTGGGATATTCAAGGTGTCACGACGTAGTTCGTGACAAAGTAGTTTGGGGAGTGAATAATAAGTTTGGCAAATGTATATGAAAACTTGCATGTTGAGACAGACAAGATACATTCATCGAAGTTGTTCTAAGCTATGCTCTACCTTATGTACATGGAATGAGAGTGTAATGTAGATAAGGGTGGCTGGTAGTGTTTATCAGTGGCGGGTAATGGAGGTGACTGGATATTACCCAAACTAGCAACTTTGACACACGTGGTCATGACACCTTCCCAGTAGTGGAGTTTGGAGCCATACTGTTACAACCTGGCTAACCAGCACCAGGCCATACACTGGCCATGCATGTGACATCTTATGCCACTGCGCTAAAAGGCACAATATCGCAATCAGCCCTATGATTGCGATCCGGTTATAACCTGATGTCACGACCCTGCAACCTCAGTCGTGACAGGAGCCCCTTCTTTAAGGGCCGAAGTCCCTTGAGGCCTTCAGGTTTAGTACCCAAACCTATTATGGTTTGACAGCGCTTTGGGTTCAATTCTCAGAGGGAGAGACTTTTGGCGGCGGACCTCACCCGCCACTGCCACATCCCACCAATGTGGCAGAGCAAATATGATGTGCTCTGGGTGGGGATCGAACCTGCTACTGTTTGATTGCAATATTCTGTTACGACCTGGCTAACCAGCACCAGGCCATACACTGGCCATGCATGTGACATCTTATGCCACTGCGCTAAAAGGCACAATATCGCAATCAGCCCTATGATTGCAATCCGGTTATAACCTGATGTCACGACTGAGGTTGCAGGGTCGTGACACATACATTCTTTGAGGACGACCCTTGGGTCAGACTCCGTCAACACCGTTTTCCGCTCCTTTGGTCTTTTGACATAAGGCTTCAAATGCCCATTATCATCTGTTAGGTGACCGTTCAAAGTCGTGACACTTCCAAGTGGCACGGTTCAGATCGTGACGGATCAAAGGTGTGACACTTTGAAGTATCACGAGGCCAAAATCCGTGCCCCTTCGAAGCTGCACAGCTTTGAACGGTCACAAGTATAATCCGTGCGCCTTCAAAGTGGAACGTTTGTGCTTTCAACGGTCACGACTCTTGGCTTTGAGTGACCGTAGAGTGCCACACCAGCGGTATTATGAAACCCACAAATCCTCCTTGTACTTGAAATTCTGCATTACTTCATCCTTCAATCATACATACCATGACCGGCATTCAATCTGTCTTCAGCACCAATTTTGAACAGAACTTTGAGTCCTGGCTTCGTGATCAAAAGTTTGCCCACACAATCTCCGATGAGGAGTATTCCAATCGTAAATGGCTATTAGAACATCCGGCTGAAAATCCACCCTTCCAACCACCTCACAACTCTTGGTTGACCCGGACCAAACAGCACAATTGTCTCAGTGAAGATCAACAAGATATCCTCACTCACTCCTCACCAACATCACCAACATGGTATAAGCTGGTCCCAATCTCACAAGTGTTCTCAAGAATCAAACATGTTCATTGTCTTACGCTTGCACATTCTGGGCAAAACAAGACTAGGGCCGAACTGCGAGCTCATTATCGAGGGATTGGAAAACAGGAGATTAAAGCAGTTATCGATGCCTGCAATGTCTGTCAACTCAAGTGGGTCTTGATACATGTCAACTGCAAGCAGTCGCTAACTCATAACAGAGCCCGCAATAAAGACCCTGGTCAACTCCAACCAATTACATCCTCCTCACCGTTTGAACGCATCCAAATCGATCTCATTGATATGCGAGCAGATGAATGTTGTGGTCCAAAAGGGGAGAAAATGCGTTGGATATGTCATATCAAAGATCACTTCACCAAACTGTCCCAGATTGTGAGTGAATAAGAAGGATAGCCGCACAGTGACTGACCCTGAAGTATCCAATGACAAACAAAACAGCTCGAAATGTTGAGAAACATCTGATGACATGGATCAACCATTATGGGGCTCCTGAGATCTTGCAATCTGACAATGGCCGCGGATTTTGTAACGAGATCATCACACATCTTGCCCAGGCATACTCGGTGAAAATCAAGCATGGTCTGCCCCGAACGCCTCGTGTTCAAGGGCTGGTAGAGCAAGCCAATGGCACTGTCAAGTCTCGCTTGTCCAAGTGGAGATTGGAGAATGAAGGACAACCTTGGTAAGCTATGAAATCTTGCGAAGGCATGCTCTGATATCCAGGATCAATGGTTTACCCCATGTGATACGTTCCATCAACTACACAAAACACAGTGCAACCCTTCACACCCCGTACGAAGCTGTATTCAATCGCACTCACCGTGAAGTTCAGATGTGGCTACCGGGAGAAGATAGGGAAGCTGTGCTTGAAGTTGCACTGGACTTGGGAACAGGAATGGAGACGGATGAAGAAGAACATGTGGATCTGCCACCTTTTCGTTGGGAAGAGGATAGTGATCAAGAAGTTGGTCAAGAACCTCTTGGAGAAAGAGAAATGCAGAATGGACCTCAGGAGAACAATGTAAGCGAAGCTGCGGATGAGTCTAGACATTCAAGTCCAGGAGCTACTGGTGATGGACATCAAGACATGGATGGTATTGGTAAGTCATTCAAAACATTGATAGGGTTAAGAAAGAGGACAGTCAAACTCATCTGCAGGAGAATCTCACCCTTTCACACTGCTCATGCAGGAGGGGAGAACCAATGAGGTTCAACGAAAGAAACTCCAAATTGAACTTCAGAAACGTCAAGCTATTGTTCGTCAACAAATGATAGATCGTTTTGGAAAAGACCATCACAGTTTCAAATACGAGATCCGCGACAAAGTAACACTTCATATACCGGCAATAGATCGCCCTGGTGCACCGGCAAGTCGAATTCCCTGTATTGTCTGTTACGTTTTCTCCAAGCCCAATGAACCTCAAGCTTATCGACTTGTTTGTGAAGCGGGAGTGCTGAATCGTCTCTACCAAAGTAAGGCTCTGAATCCGGCAGATCAATTTGAAATTCCCATTGTGGTAGGGCTGGCAGCTCTAGACTGGAAAAATCAGCCCCTGGTGTCCTTGAGATCTGCAGTGAAAAAGATATTCCGTGAGTACAGAGTCATAGGAAGTATAGTATGCTTACCCATGAGACTTGTCTAAAAGGGAGATCAAGTGCAACTGTAAGGGACATTGTCACACCACTCGATGCCCTTGCAAAAAGAAGAATGTGAAGTGTTCACTTTATTGTCATGGAGCGGAAAGAGAATGTAAGAACTACTCTCGATTGACGGCCACGGAAAGAACTTTTATCGAAAACTCCAGCAGTGAATCTGACGCTGGTGAACCAAGGCCAAAACGTCGTCGGAAGACAACACAATCTAAGAAGAGTCGTCAACAAGACAAGACGTCTGTTGAGAGTGAAGAAAGTCAAGTGATACGGGAGTCCGAAGATGGTGAGCATATCACGGACAAGTCTGACCAAGCTGGTTGCTAATCTAGATAGGTGCTTCTCTTTCTGCTCCATCCATTCCACCCTCACTTTCAGATCTTCAGTCGGAATCAGAAGTCGGAGCCAATAGTGATTCCACTCAGTGGCCTGACAATTGCTCTACCTTTGAGACATGGAGCGACTACAACGAAGACGACATTCCCTCTGGATTCTGGCATTCTGAAAGTCCTCTCAATGATTATCCGCGATGGATGAAGGGCAAAGATGATTTATGGCTGGATGAAAAATGGGAAGTGGATGGGAAGACATGGGGTCTCACTCGTCGGGTTCTGCACCTGGCTAGGAAATACAAGTCCTGGCTTTGGCATGAGATAATGACAAGGCATATGCGGGGAAGACGAGGTATTCTGCAGGCAGGGTTTGGGAAAGAGCATGCTGAGATGATGGCTCATGTGAAGGGGATTGTAATAGCTAGGGAACGTTTCAAAGCCAAGTATGGTCAAGAATTGCTTGGTCCAAATGTATGTTCCAATAGTCATTTGGCGGATGCTAGCTAACTATGTAGTCCGCTTAAAAGTATAGATGTCGTAGGCTTCTTAGAAAGATGACTTGGCAGGATACAGTCAGTATGAAAAATAGGTAGATAGATTGACGGAATGCATCTCTTTCTCTCAAACTGACTTTCTACATTGGAGATGTTTTCAGTAATTACTTCAATCGGGTCTTACATAAGAACCACATTCTATGTTGGTCTTTTTTCTCTGCTTTCGAGAGACTCTACGCTTACTCAGCTAGGTAGATAAGTACATACATGTTTAGCAAATAGTATTAAGCATCTTCTTTATCCCATGATTGACTTTCGATATCAGAGATATGTTCAGTACTCACCATTCAATCACATCTTACAACCCTCCTATGAAGATTCCATTGCAGCAAGTATGGTTGTATTTCAAAACCGTTGGTCTTTGGTCTTGACAAGGCCCAAGGAGAACCTCTGTCATTATGGAGGAAGTATAGATTGGCATGTGTCTTGTTCAAAGCCCGAAAAACAGGAAGATGTACAAGATATGGAAGTGGAAGTGGAACTGGCCGCAGGGAAATTCAACCTGAGACTTCCTGTCCACGGTACCCGTGCCACTTTGAAGTAGCATGGTATCAACCCGTGCGTCTTTGAAGTGTCATGACGCTTTGGCATGTCACTCAAGGGGTCCTTGAAAGGCCGTGACGCTTGGAAGTGTCACGACTTTGAACGGTCACCTAACATCATCTAAATATCCGAGTTGGAGAGGCTCAAGTTTTGACCAATCACTGGCCATTTTGAGAATCGATGAGAGAATACTACCTGTCTGTGCAAGTGGTGTGGAGAGTAGGTCAAGGGTAGGCACTTCCACAACATTCCCCACAGCTTATGCAGAGTCAGTGCCAATTTCGGAAATGATATGGCTTTTAAGATAGTCTATGAATACACTGTGACTCATTACCTCTCTTGATTCATGTGAGAACTGTGTATCTTCTTCAATCTCACGTAGCTCTTTGTAACAAGCGGTCCGAGGCTCTCTAATAAAATGTTTCAATCCGTATGATGACTACCCCCCTTTGATTGCTGATAATTAGATGATCATACAGAGGGGAAAAAGAGCATACATCAATTCTACATATCACATTCCACTCACACGCAGTAAACCAGAGACGATCGAATAGAGTTCAGAGGATAAGTTGAACGGAGAAATATCTGACGGAAGGGGTAATTATCTAACGGCGGTTCTGCCGTCCTGGCCCAATTCTATCGGCTAACACCCTGCTTTGATTTGTGTTAAAGGCTGGTAAGACCCTTCTGACCCATTCATAGTGGAGACAGCATCCTCTGCATCCGCTTCACGAGGCCAGGGAGTTGAGAGACTTGCATACCCAGTTTTTACCCAAATTGATACCCAGGTGTTACGGGGTAACAACGAATCGAGAGGACTCTATCGAGTTCGACGGATTAGGACAGAGAAAAGCGGGAGTTGGAGGCAGTGCTGCAGTAGGTAGGGACGGGTTTTCCCCTTTCGAGATTTTCCCCACTGGGTTTGCTCAAAGCGGTTTTTCACCTGTCCGAGTATGTACGTAGACGCTTGCAGCAGGAAGAGGACAAGGACGAGGATATCTGTAGACAGTATATAGTACAATCAGCAAAGTACCAACTTTGCTGATTCTTCAATATCATTCTTTGGCTACATCGATTGCAGAGGAGACACGATTCTTTAGCACCAGAGCCCCTAGATTTCCACGTACGAGACCACTCGTAAGCTCTATAATTATTGAGACATCCATCGAGTTCGACCCAACCTGCGACTTAGTCGTCGTGTTTCCAGTACCGTTACACCAGGCTCGAGTTATCCCTCCAGGTTGTGGGACTAAGGTCACTTCAAATACCTGTGGGCAAAGATCTCCTGGGGCATTGCCATTCTGGAAATCTAGAGAGGGAAAGGCTTCTTCAATGCTGGCCAACAGGGATAACTTGTTAGCCTCAAACACATACCTTCCCCTCCCCTTTGGGTCTGAATCTATCAATTTCACTACATTTTTGTATTTGGCATATGTTGCCTTTTGTACGTTCATGTCGGATGTTAATGAAGCGGTGTTTGACATGGTGTTGTTGTTGTTCAAGTGAGATGTAGTGTACAACTAGTAAGTGGTGATCTGGAAGAAGAACAAAGTGGACTTTGACCACATTGTATGCCATCCAGTAGCAGGAATTGGAGTCTGAATGTGGGCTTCTTCTTCTGACGCTCCCTTGTTGAGGAGGACTAAATCCTAGGTGTCTGCGTCATGGTATGGTCCGCGGGAGGTGCAAACGCCCGATTCATTCTGGTCATTACGTCAAAGAAGCCAACAAACTATGACCTCAACAACCATCATCGTCTTCTTCTTCAACACCATTAAAAAGGTCCAAAGGTACATTTATAGAACTTGTCAGAGGAAGGAGAGACAATAACAAGCTTCCCAGATATCTCAAGGGGAAAGAAGTGGTACTGATCTACACTCCTCGATCGCTCGTCCCAATGCTTTGATGTCGTGACAGAGGTTAACCACTGTCATGTATATCATCAGCACGGGGTGTATGGTGGACCCCCACGCCTACAAGGTCCGGTATCTGGACTGGCCTTCACTGAGTATGAGACAGTGTGTCTCATTATCAACAGATCCAAAGAGGGAAGAGGAATGAGGATATAACAGAATGACTATTTGCACTGAATTATCATGGTCACACCATCAGTCGGTATTGGAGTCAATACGAGAGACATTATTTCCCACATTCCTTCATAGGTATAGAAGGCATGATGTCATGATTTGAATGTCCGCGATAATCCCAACCTCGACCAGGAAGCCCGACCTACGATGACGTCCGATAGTCGGCATCTAGCATCTGGATTATCCCCGGCAAGAAAGAGTGCCTAGTTCTCGGGATTGGGGAGGGGGTGAAGCTAATCGAGTCGGGAGGAAGTTGTCACGACCAGTACTTATAGCGAGATCAACTCTCACTAGCAGAGTTGATATTGAGCCTTTTAGGACGGTTCATGTTCGCGGGCTCGCTACCCGGTCATGACAGAAGTTGACCGACGGAAGAATGATTGATCTTCGACTTGCTTCTTTGAGACGTCAGCTATGTACTCGTTCCCCCCAGGCAACTGAACGATCACCGGCCGGGACGTCATGTTACGTGACGGACGGAAGCCGTAGCCCTCGTAGCCCTTCGACCTTCGAAGTGCAAGGGGGACGAGCGGAATGTCCGTGACACTTCAAAGAGTCATGATGTCATCACCATGACCCATTGAAGAATCATTCCTCACCATTAACGGATCCTGACAACCACAAAAGTCTACAGGGGGGTATTGGAGGTGGTGAAATCGTACTAGAACATTCCTGTGGTCATATTCCACCATGCATGGTGGGAGGAACATGCCTATTGGTTCTTCCCAAGAGGTCCATTCAGTGGAGGAATATGAATCCCCGGCTTGTTCCTCTTGAGTGGACACTGCACAGTAAAGTTTGAACTACTCAGTCAAGCATGAGGATCGGGTTTGGGAGATGTGCAGCTCATTGAATATGCATTCTTCCACAGGTCACCTCATCCGGCGGTCAAGCTGGCATCCATGACACTTTGAAGTGACATGTCTCCCGTGCGTCACCTAACATATACTCAGCCCTTTGGAATACAAGAGCTGAGACGATGATATTCCATCCGTATTGAACGTGTGGAGCAATGTCTTTGTCCTCATTAGACGCTTGCTTTCTCCGTTCCACAGAGGTTAACTGGAGGAGGGGGAGTTCAGCATCCTAATAAGCTTCCCCAACCTATCTCGGAGATTGTCTCTGACATCTCGAGGACCATCTACTATCGTTTGCAGCAAATTTGACCTTTGAGTATGATTGTCGTCAGCATTGGTAAAATCCCCATTGATCAATGTGAAGTCCGGAACACTTTGTTCTTCATGAGCAGTAGATGGGTCAGACGCTGGTGCCAGCGTCGTTGGTGTCGCATACGGCGTGACGACATAGGGTGCCAATAATTTACCAGAATGAACATATCCGATTCTTGTCGCCTCCCTTGCCATCCCTTTGTTACCGTGTTGGAGGGTCTCATGGATACAATTTTCTTTCACTACCCTTCTTGGATCAACCAATCTAGGGGTGCTAGCTTCCACCACCGGACCGATGGCTGTTGAGGCATCAGTGTCAACTTTGGAGATGATCGGGTCGCAGAGTCTTCTGGTCATAGCAGCAATTCTTTCCACTTTTTTGCTATCCGAAAGCCCGGAAGCAAAGATGATTGAAAGAGACATATCTGCTGTAGTTTTGTAAGTGTGCCTTACAAGTCTGCCTACTTCGATAGGCGTCAATACCCTCTCATTCAATTGCTGGGACCATTGAGAGGGCCCTCCAAAACCGCTTGAATCCGGTGTTGCCGTGGTAGGGGAGCTTTCATCACCCAACAAAGATCAGCACACTGCTCATGTTCCTTATCACACCATATGATTGCAGGACTTACATACTGGAGATGTGACAACCAGGCCAGGGTATGTTTCCCGTCAGGTTGTGGGACCAAAGTCACTTCAATAGAGTCAGGCAAGACTACACCTGAGGTTCCTTCAATCCCACGTTCAAGCTTCAGGAGCCCCAGGGAGGGAAATGCTTTGTGCAAAGCGGTCAACATGGCTCGCTTGTCCCTCTCTCTCTCTGCTGTTAAATCTGCTTTGATCAAATCCTGTTCATGTGTTGAGGCTATGCCATCTCTCTGTCAGGGGTTCCTTCGGTTTAGGTCTGGTTTGAGGGACAAGATCCGCAACTGGTCAAGCACGGTAGCAATCTAGAGTCACAGACAGGTGAAGATACATTGTCCAAAGAGTAAAGTAGCTATCTTCGTATTATGTATCTGTCAGGTACGCCGCCAGCGGCGTCCTCCGCATACCAGAGTTGTCACCACGTGACACTTTCCCCCCCTTCCTTTGAAAATCCTGAGTTTGATGGTCGTCATCACTACGTACTTGTCAACTTCAAAGAGAATCCTGAATTCTACTGTTATCTCGTTATCCACTCATGTATCTCTTTCTCTTTCACCTCATTTCTCTCAATTACCAGAATTTCACCTTTTCTTAACATCTAACGTTCATAAACATGTCATCTCCTGCTCCTGTTGGCATTACTCCCCGTAAACGCGCCCGTCAACCAGAACCAGAAGGTTTGGTTGCTCCTTCTTCCGCACCTGCCAACAACAAAGGTTGGAAATGTATCGGTTTTGTGAACCATGCTGGGGATCCCAACATTACCCATGGTAAACTTGTTTATGTTCGTAAATCAAATCATAAGGACTACGTGTATCCTTGTCTACCTCTCGTTCATGGGACAGACCAAGTGAAGGACGCAATCGAGGTATGTGGCTCACGTTATTGACAATGACAGGATTCTGATCTTTAGGAAATAAAACTCGTTCTCAACAAGTTCGTAGATGGTAGTTGCCAGTGTTCTGCCACGAAGAGGCAACTGTGTGGTGAAGCTTTGTTGGAACTTGGGGCTTTGGGAGACGATGTAGCAATCGTGGGGGATCCGGTGATGAGTGAGTCAAGTGTACATGGTGTAGTTTCCTTCTAATGTTAGGGTGTTCCGGATGTTTGAACGACGCAGAAGGCGAGAACGAAGATGAAGTCGACGACCACGCCTGTGTAGTAGGCATTGTTCGAGCGACCGAGCCTGTTGGTCGCACTCGGTCTAGTGGTCCGCCTCCGGTGGAGCAAATTTACATTGCGACTCCGTGAGTTGTAGTTTTCAAGTTCGTGCTGACTGTTTGCAGGTGTTTCTATTGTCGAGCACAACCAAATGTTTCGTGTTCGCTCAATATCAACACTCATCTTGGCAAACGCCCCAAAGGTGTCGTGAAGAATGACGCCGCAGACCCCGTGTTGGAGAAAAGTCTTACGGGTCGTCGAATGTTGGCTGCTTCGGGGTCGTTGAAGCCTTCTGAGAAGAAGTTCTTCTTGAGTGCGTGGGGGGAGTTGGAAGGGGTGAGTTTCGTTCTTCTCAAGTACGCTGGCTGATTTTAGTTTGTGCGCAACATGAAGAAAACGGGTAAAACCCGGGCTTCATCGTCCAAAACTCCAGATTGGGCGACATTCATGTTGGATGAGGAGAGCGAGGACGAGGATTGAAGGTGGTGTGTTTGTGAGTGTGGGTCTGAACTGTTGGTACGTGGTTGTCTGGTTCGCGGGGTTTAGCTGTAATATAGGAATTCGATTTTCGAGATGTAATATAGGATAATGAATGTGTATGAATGAATGGACTTAGTTGGTGGCTAAAGAACGTGTGGTTGACAAGTACATCGAATCAGTGGGAAGGTGCAAACCTGGCCCTTCGACCAGATTGCAGCCTCTCACTGTATTCTTTGAACATGTCATCAAAATTGGGGTCTTTCTCCACTTCTTCCTGTGGTTCCCAAGTACTCTCGCTTACTGGCGACCCACGCCATTTGATCTTGTATTGTTTTATCTCTCTTCCCTTGTTTATAAACGAATGTACGTCTAAGATACTTTCATATTCGTATGTGTTGTCGTGTGCCAAATGCGCCGGTTGTGGCTGACGACCGTGATCCTGTACTAGTCGAGTACGTTCCCCGTTATTGGGTGTCGCGTGATCTTCGACATACAATTTCAGAAGTGATACATGGAATACGTTGTGGATGTGGTAGCTTGGTGGGAGTTCTAATTTGTAAGCATTGTCGTTTATCTTCTCTTTAATCGTGAACGGTCCCAACCACCTGTGGTCCAACTTTTTTGAAGCCCGGAGAGTACGAATGTTTTTTGTGCTTAACAACACCTTATCCCCCAGTTTGAAAAGTTTGGTGAGAGTGTTTTGCATCGTAAAACTTCTTCATACTTTGTTGAGCTCGTTTAATTTTATCTCTTAAGTACGCGTGGATTTTCTTGGTGTTTCGTACGAATTGTCTCCCTGCTTCGTTCTCGTGGTTGGCAGGTGTGCGTGATATGGGTTCTGACATCGTTTTTTCGTGGTTGATACCCATACCATCCTTCAAATGGACTAAGCCCTGTTGTACTATGTTCCGTTGCGTTGTACGTGAATTCCGCCTGTGGTAACAGTTCCACCCAATTACGCTGGTCGTAGTCGACAAATACTCGAAGGAATTGTCCTAACCACTTGTTCACTATTTCTGTCTGACCATCGGTCTGAGGGTGAAAAGAAGTCGAGAATTTCGTGTCTGTCCCCATCAAAGAAGTTACTGTCCTCCAGAATGACGATGTATATTGTGTCCCACGATCTGTTACCAACTTCTCAGGTAGACCTGTCCTGGGGTACACGCTTCTCATGAATACCCTCGCCAGTTCAGGTCCATCGATGTTTGCTGTAGTGGGAACGAATATTGCCGCCTTCGTCAATGGGCACACCCACACACTAATTGAAGTATAACCATTTGAGTCGGGTAATCCAACAATGAAGTCTGTTGTTATTGTTTGCCAAGGTCTCGAAGGAATTGGCATCGGTATTAACAATCCATAAGGTGTATGTCGACTGTACTTTGTTCGCTGACAACTGTCACGCCGTTGTACCCAAATGCGTACGTCTTTCTGTAAAGTTGGCCACCAGTAGTATCTTCGAATATCTGATATTGTCTTTGCTATTCCAGGATGACCCGCCGACCTGCTATCGTGTGATTCTCCCATTATCACCTCTCTCACCGCCGTTGGTACTATGATAGCTGACCGAAAACGCAATCTCCCCTCGCTATCCCTTGTAATCGGTCCGTCTTCTTTAACCTGTGTATTCCATCTCTCATAATCCTTATCAGCTTCAATATTGTCGTCAATCATCTTTAGAACCGGGGTTCCTGCTAGTTCTGTTGACTGGATTGCTAGCAGTTGGCTCCGTTCTATCAAAGGACGATAATTGTGGTTGTTGAGTTCACCGGACAAGGTGGTTGTGGTTGTATCTGTGGGACGGTAGTCTGCTCTCCTGCATAGCGCGTCCGGTTGTGTTGACTGCTTTCCTGGTCGATATTTGATGACGAAATTGAAATCTGACATGAACTCGCTCCATCGTGCTTGTCGCCGGGTGAGCTGCTTTGTTGTCAGAAAGTATTCTAAACTGTGATGATCTGACAGTACCTCTACACGTATTTGAGCACCTTCCAAATATTGTCGCCAAGTACGAAAGGCGAAGTATATAGCCAGGAATTCCTTATCGTGTATTGGGTAGTTGAGTTCTGCCGGTATCATTTTTCTTGAAGCAAAAGCCACAGGTCGTGTAACTCCGTCCTTGTCTATCTGCGACAGTACTGCCCCCAACGCGTAGTCTGAGGCGTCTGTCTCCACTATGAGCGGTAGGCTTGGATCGAAATGTCGTAACACTGGGGCAGTGCTCAAAGCAACTTTTAACTTCTCCATTGCAGCTACACAACTTGTTGTCCACTCGAACGCTGTGCCTTTCTTGGTAAGTTCGTGTAAGGGGTTGCTAACTTCGGAGAAGCCTTTGATGAATCTTCGATAGAAGTTGGCAAATCCTAAGAATGATTGGACTTCCTTTAAATTTTTTGGTGTTGGCCACTCCTTTATTGCTTCAATCTTCCCTTCGTCCATCATCAATCCTCCAGGTGTCACTACATATCCCAAGAACTCCACTTTCCTTGTATGAAATTCACACTTCTCCCATTTTGCATACAGCTCTGCCTTCCGCAATCTTCCTAGTACTTCCTTGACATGTTTGACATGCTCTTCTTCGCTGTTGGAGAATATCAGAATGTCATCCAAATACACAATCACGTACTTGTCGAGTATGTCCCTAAATATGTCATTCATTAAATGCTGAAATGACGCCGGTGCATTTGTGAGTCCAAAAGGCATCACTTTGTACTCGAAAAGTCCGTATCGTGTTCTAAACGCCGTTTTCCATTCATCTCCCTTAGCTATTCGTAGTAGATTGTAAGCCCCCCGAAGATCGATCTTGGAGTAAACAGTCGCACCCCTCAGCCTGTCTAATAAATCACCAATCAACGGAAGTGGATACCTGTTTTTTACCGTGATATCGTTAAGTCTTCTATAATCCACACATAACCGTAGCGATTGATCCTTCTTTTTAACAAAAAGTATTGGTGAAGCTGCCGGGGATTGCGAGGGTACAATGAAACCTTTTGCAAGGTTCTCATCGAGGTATCTTCGAAGTTCCATTTGTTCAGTTTCTGATAATGAGTATATTGGGCCGAATGTCGGTTGCTTCCCATCCAGCAAGGTAATGTGATGATCATACGGGCGGTGCGGTGGTAGGGTATCGGCGGCTTTCTTGGCAAATACGTCCAAGTACTTGCGATATACGGTCGGAACAACCGACGTCACCGTCGGTTCTGTTTTGTCCTCCAACACCCTTGTTTGTAACCACTGTATGTTGTTTGCTGGGTACAACGTCCGCTTATCCCAGTCGAATATTGGTTGAACTGCAGAAAAGAACGTCATCCCTAGCACCACTGATGCAATTCGAACTGGTGTAACATAGAAGGTTGAGGAGTATGGTTCGAATCCATGACCTAACAATAACGTCATTCGTACTTCATGAGTAATTTCCCCAATCTTCGAAGGTTCGCCATCTGCTAACACTAACCGTTGTGGTCGCGGAAGTCGCCTTCTTTCCAATCCTGCTTCCACGACAAACGCATCGTCCACAAAGTTTGCTGTTGCCCCCGTATCCAATAAAGCCCTGGGGTTTAGCTCTGTTCTCTCTACCACACATACTGGTACAGTAAATAACTTTGACCTGCGTGGATCGAAAACCACAGTGTCTCTCGTTCCTTTTCCCTTTTTTCCTACAACTAACTCTACAATATTACTAAGTACATTCGCGAACTTGCTAACCTTTGCACATTCCTTGTTATTTTCTTTGTTTTTGTTGTTTTCTTTATTTTCTTTCGTGGCAAATCCAATCTTGTTTTTGTTGTTTTCTTTATTTTCTTTGTTTTTGTTGTTTTCTTTATTTTCTTTAAATTCTACGTACATACTTCTCAATTCCAGGCCGTCTCCATCGTCTTCTCCTTCCATATTCTGTTCCAACTCTCCTTCTTCTATCAATTCACCGTTCTCCTGATCCTCTGTCTCCTCCATATAATTCGAATCTATCACGTCCAGGGTCCGTAGTTGACGAGTTGGCTGCAAGTATCCGTTATCCGGGCACTCTGAACTTAGGTGTCCGACCTTTTTACATTTGAAACAACGACCTTCTTTCATTAACTTATCAAACTCCGCATCTGTTAATCTAATTGTCTTGTTGTTCGTACTCTGGCGGTAATTTCGTGTACTTTGAAGTGACGAGCCTGATGATTGCGACTTATTTTTTGTTAAGTTATTGACATTTGGGCGGTATTGTGTTGTCGTAGTGCTTTGCCGAGTATTGGTGACTACGGGTCGGTTGTTGCTCGCACGATAGGTGTCCGTAGTTGACGAGTATCGGGCCGATACTTGCAGACTCTGTTCATTGGCTTGGTCAACTTCAACAGCCGCCTGTATTAACTCTGTAAGATCTTTTAAAGAGGGTGGGGGTCGTAATTTTAGCACTTCCCTGCGTATGTAAGGTTTTAATCCGTCCAGAAATGCTAAGCACTTGTTGTGCTCGTCATATCCAGACCGTGCTACCACCGCTCTAAATTCAATAGAGTATTTAACAATGTTGTCGGTTTGAATTGTTTTCTTTATCTTCTGATGTGCGTCTAGTTCTCGGTTATATGGACCAAACGCTTGACGGATCTGTTGGAAATACTCGCCAAGTGTGGCAGGTGTTTTTCCAATGTCTACCAAATTATCATACCATTGACTGGCGTTACCTCTAAGTAACATAGAAGCATAATTCACCTTTAACTCCTCCTCAGGATACATCGGTCCTGCTGCTCTTAGAAACATCCTAACTTGACGGATGTGTTCCTCGAGTTTATCAATATCCTCTTCTCCCGAAAATTTATCTGGTTTCGGTAAGTTGCTGATTGAATCACGCAACTGTCTCGATATAGTTGAAGAGTACGTTTCAGACCTTGTCTGGCTCGCCTCTCTTTCTTGGCTAATCCTCTCTCCTCCACTTTCATTCATCATCTGATTACCTGTAGTTCCCTCCCTCACGCTTTCTCTCTCCAGCACTTCCAACACCTCAAGTTCGCGAATCCTTGCCACAATTGCATCCTGTTCTCTCCTCAACCGCTCTCTCTCCTGTTGTAGTCTCAGGTGGGGGGGTGGTTGACGATGAAAATTACCGGATCCGGCGAAATTATGATCGGCGTGGTGGAGTAATGTGTCACTGGTCGGTAACTGTGCTTCCGTGCCTGGGAACAAACTCCCCATGGTCGGTAACTGCGTTGCCGGGTTGAGTGGCAAATCGACAGATGGTGTGAGTGGTGGGATTGATGATGATTGTGATGATAATGATCGTGGAGATCCTCTTGGTGTAATCTCGTCGTCAGATGACTGCTCATCTTGATGATGTTGATCGTTATAGGAGGACAAGGGATCAGGGGGCCTGGGTTCTCTTGGTTGAATTGGGTTGCGTAGATTGTACCTTGGTTCTGTAGACGACATCTTGCTAGCTGGCTACTGTGCTTGGCGAGTTCGAATAAGGGGACAATGTATCTACTGTCAGGGGTTCCTTCGGTTTAGGTCTGGTTTGAGGGACAAGATCCGCAACTGGTCAAGCACGGTAGCAATCTAGAGTCACAGACAGGTGAAGATACATTGTCCAAAGAGTAAAGTAGCTATCTTTGTATTATGTATCTGTCAGGTACGCCGCCAGCGGCGTCCTCCGCATACCAGAGTTGTCACCACGTGACACTCTCATATCTGTTGCATTGTCGGAGGTCAAGTTCATGTTTGTATGAGCTGTGGTGAACAGGGCAGTGGATACAGATCTAAAAGAAGAGACTACATGGGTTGTCATCAGGTTATGTATCATCTAGTGGCAAGAATTGGAGTTTGAATGTGTGCTCATTCTTCTCACACTCCCTTGTTCAGAATGAGAGAACTCTAGTTGATTTCTTCATCCTGTGGAACGTCCGAGTCAATCGGGTCACATCACGTCAAAGAAAACGTGACATCATGACCTCAATGACAATCAGCATCTTTGTTGAGACCATCAAATAGGTACAAAGGTACTTTCATGGAATCCCGGAGAAGGAGAAGGATCGAGTTGGATCACATTCACATTAGTACCATCCGGACATCAAGGACGTGGAGGGGTGATTTACATACATATGTAGGCAGTATGTTCATATGAGTCTGTGGGCTCTCTGCTCTCAGTGTGACCCTCTGCAAACTTTGCAGAGTCACATCTACTGACTTAAATATCATCAGCACAATGTAGATGGCGAAGCCACACTTAGCCTCTCCGTACGTGTTTTATTAGAGTTTAGTCACAGATTTGGACAGGCATTCACTGAGTATGATCCTATGCATTGTGTAGTGCATCTCATCTCCGTACAGTCTCAATGGTCTCAATGAGCGAAGCAAAGTGGGTAAAGATATGAATGTATGTCTCCGCCAAATCATCTCTGATCTTAGGAGTCAATACGAGAGTAGCCGCGACCTGCGAGGGGGTCTCTCGAGGACGTCTTGAATGGCGCACCCAACAGCCCACTGATCCCATCGAACGGATTGGTCATTACTCCTTTAGGAGTCGACGATGATTGATTATATGACTCCATTGCCTTTGCCATAGATGTTGGACATATCAAGTAAGGAATCACTCTGCGAAAAGTCTCCTCTTTATCGGGCGTCGTCATCACCGTGCACGCAGTGTCCACGTAACCTACACTGATTGACTGCTGTGGTGAATTGTTTTGCAAGTATGCAAGGGTGGAAGCCAAGCACTCCTTGAACCGTTTTGACACGTGTTCCGTCCCAAGATATGTGTAAACGGACATACGTTCACTTGCGCCTTCCGAGTCCACAGTGATTTCAGACTGGATGATTTCACGTAGTAGTTTCAAAGCCTTCCGACTTCCCTTCTGGGGGTACAAGGCTGACAACTCGTCCCTGGGTTGTTGGTTGGCAACTGTGGCATAATACTCTTTCAGTTGGTTGGTTAGATGATCTCGTATCTCAGCAGCAGTTGGATGTATGCTGTTGGGGGAAACAACAGAGGCGGTGACAGCAGTCAGATTTGGTGCCGTGGAATCCTCGGCCTATGCAAGTTAGCATATCTACCCAATCATGTTCCTGACCGGAAAGACTCACTGGCACAATGTTAGAACTTGAGGCAACCCCTTGCTCCGAGCCATGTGGCTTGTACTCATACTGTATATGCTCAAGAGGTGACTCATCGCCCAAATCCGACCGGGTCAAATCTGGGAATGACTCAAAGAGATCTTGTAGTTTTCCTCTCACTTTCTCCGCATTATACGGGCTCCCATTCACAACATTCGACATCTTATCTTTCAATTTGTTCATGGTGGGTCTGCTATAAGATACAGTGGAGATATGGAAGAAGGAGGAATCTTGTCTTGATCAGTTTATATATCCAACAGCAGTAGAAAGTGATATGAGAATTTGGGGCAGTGTTTCCCTCTTTCCTTTATGAGGAGAAGAAGGCATACGGTCATGTTTTTCGATGTCCGCACGAGTCTCAACCTCGACGGCCGACGGGGAAGCCCGATCGACGATGACGTTTTAGTCGGCTTTTGGTTCGACGGTCGGCCAGAGAAAACATGTCGGCTTGGGGGAAGGGAGAAGGGAGTTTGGTCGAGTTGAGAATGAACGACTGTCCGCCTAATCACTTGATGTGTTAGCTAGACATGTATGGTTCTCAATACAGTGAGTGACATCTACGTTCATTAGATACTGTTTGACACTGGGAAAGAAGCATGCAGTCCCCGCCTATATCTTCCGTCAACGTCAGAACAGGAAGACGGTTCGGGGGAGAGGAGATGAAACGAGATTCATCAGTAGAATGAGTACATGAGAGATGTTTCACACGATCTTTCGAGTAAGTTGGTGAATCTGCCAAAAGCAGTACATGGTCGAGATACATCACCATCCTTTGTCGGAATGCGGGGTTATCTTGCGGACCACCGATCAAGGTTGTGAGAGATCACTCGGCCACAAGGAGCGGTCTTGGGGAGATGACATCAAGCTCTGAGAGTTTGAAGGCGAGAGATTCGGGGATTGAAAAACAGCGTGGGCCGAATATCGAAGAGCGCGATAACACGTATCTTGCAAATGTCCACAAAGGGTATCTCAGCGACGTTGCACGTCTCGACATCCTGAGATCATAAGCGAGGTCAGACTTCAGTAGTTCTCCATCGGTATTTGTGGACTTCGTATCCATGCGAACCTCTTCTCACGTACAAGATCATGGGCGATAAGACCTTAAACCAATCTTCGTTTGGGTGGCGAACGAGATCTCTCCTTCTCCCTACTCCTGTGTCTCTTCTCCCGATCCCTGTTTTCGTCGTATTTGTCGTACTTTGAGCTCCGATCTCGGTCTCTGTCTCGTTCTCCATCGCGATCTCGATCGCGCGAACGATGAGATTCGCCTCTGTCACGATCTTCCCTCCTGTACGTCAACACCGGCCTCTCTGCATAATGTAGAGAAAGAGAAAACAAAGACTGACCTATCGTACTTATCATACCCATCTTTCTCACGGTATCGCTCATGTCTGTCGTCCCTATCTCTATCCCTGTACTTTGAGGAAACATGTCTCTCCTCACGTTCTCGCTCCCCTTTCACCTCCTTCAAATCTTCTTCCAGCTCACCTGCTTCCCGTCGTATCTTATCTCCGTGTCCCACGAGAGGCATCTCATCCACTGGAGGGACGCGAGGATGCATGGGAGTATGTGGAGCAGCACCGTTACCGATGCCAGGCGGTCCCATGAGCCCTGGTCCCCCAGGAGGGCCAAGATGGGTTTGACGAGGACCGGAAGGCGCTGATGGGGCGGAAGGGGGAGGTCCAGAGGGGTTCTGATGAGATTGTCGACCGATCATGCGGTCTTCTGCCATTTGTGCTAGCAGTTTACGCAGTTCGTGGTAGCCCAAGTGCAACTGTCCGTCAGCGATTATCAATGGGACGGACCGCAGGACGCGTTCGTATATCAACAAGGAGCAGCCTTGCCTGCAGCAGCACCGAACACTTGTCGGCTTTATGAGGATACTGCTACAGACCGAGTCTTAGATGAATTGGAGGAATAATCCGCGCCCATGCGGGTGAGAGTGGCTTACCTTTCCACCGAAATGATCCGCTAGACGTTTATCAGAGTCCAAAACACTAAGCATGGCGCCCTGTATGTCAGCGAGCTCTTACAGTGGTGACCAGACTGTTCAGAGTGATGAGATGACTGCCTCACACATGTCTCGCAAACTCTCAATTTCTGATGCCCCGAAGCTCCTGCATTCTCATTCAATACCTGTAACTCTCTCTCCTTATCTGTCTTGAGAGACTTGAGAGCATCAACAGCTTTGAGCTTCTCCATAGATTCTTCAACCTTTCCAGCTTCACCCAACGCCTCGACTTCTTCAGTGGCGCCTTGTATGGATAATTCAATCTCTCCAATTTCGCGCATCTGATTATCAGCGTGGGATCCACATCGTCAGTGATACACATTTCTATGAGAGAAGGGTGAACGAGCCTCTCAGAAAGGGTCTGAAGATGGATAGCGAGGGGTCGACATAAGAGGACATACCAAATCCACTGTCTTTCTATTTTCTTCCGGAGTTTTCTCCAACTTCCTCTGACTCGCCCTGATCCTTCGATCACATTCTTCGACAAATGAATAGAGATTATTCTCGTGTTCTCTCTTATACGATGCTATGCGAGGATCGTCCGGGTCGGCCGCTTGGGCTTCTTTGAATTGCTCGAGAATACGGTCAGAGTGGATTTTGGGACAACTGCCCAGATCCATTTTCTCATCGTCAGTGCCAATTTATTTCTCTGAATCATAGGTATGCCGTAAATCCTTGGAGCCTCATCGGCTATAACATCTGGTCGAATGGCTTCATTTCCTGGACATCCACCAGGGGAAGGTCGGGGGTAGGGGGGCCGGAGTTTGAGAAAACAGAGAGGAAGAAAGGGAGCGGGACTCACGGTGTTACTAAAAACGTTATGAGGACAGGTTCCAAACAAATAATTTCTGCACACCTTATCATCCCACCAGTCGTAGTTTATCACTGCCACTCCCATAGCTTCGGGTCCCATCATTTGCTAAAAAGTCAGCAGGCAGTTTTAGGTTGCTCAACCCCACCCTGGGAACTCGCTCAACTGTATCGACGATCGCGCGGGAGGATCCCGTAGCTGAAATGTCTGACCCACCTCTAGCAGCCTTCGCTGCACCTCTGCCATTTTACCCATCCTGACTGATGATTAGATATGCTGGATGAACTTGTGTAAAGGGGAAAGATGTCATCAGTTTAATCGACGAAAGTGCAGAGAGAGGTGGTGAAGAAGCGGGATCAAATATATCGGTGAATTGCCACGTGGTCGAATGTGGCACTTTTCCTCCTCCAACTTTGCTCCCACTTTTCGACTGTGATCCCCGTATATACACAGTGTCACACCAATACCATGTCAAATCGCCCAAACGCCTCGGCGGGTCCTTCTAGACCTCCTCCGAAACATGTCAGAATCATCGAGAAAACATCGGACCTGATGAGACGGAACGAGTATCTCAAGAAGCAAGGTAAGGGCAAGGGACGGGCAATTTTGGGTGGTGTGCTCGATATGGTTGACGGTGAGCTCGCATCTGAGATCGCTCATACCTTAAGCTCATCATGTAGCCAGTCAGATTCCTAACGCTCTACAGGTGGAAAAGTTTGCAGAGGTGAGTCTCTGTCATCTTCACATACAGCCCTTTGTCCACCGTCTTAGTCGCCTCTCTGCCTATGAGGAGCAAATGTGGACGGAAGAAGCGACGGACCACTGGAGGTTGATCAAGAGACGACAGACAAAGCTGATGTATCAGACCCGCGCTTTGGAAATTCTTGCATTACAAAATGCCATGAAATCATCCGCGTGAGTCCGTCCCTTTCCTTTTTAGAGCTTGCAGCGAATGGCATAAGCTCACCAGTAGTGATAGTAACAACTCCCGAGTCTTTCAATCCCTCCCTCGGCATCTACGAAGAAGAGCGGCTAGTCATAATCCTAGACGAGTACCAAAACGTCTGCGTAGTAAAGCCGCGTCGGAGGTGAGATTTTCCCTTCCTTCCTTCAACCTGGACGCAACTGAACATTGATATCAGATCGATCCGGGGGACAAAATAGCCAAATCACATCGAAAACGCGCCAAATTACGTGCGAGAGCAAAAGGGAAGGAGACCGGTAGAACAGAAGAACTCTTGCGACGACAGAGTGAGTTGAACCTATCGGACTCGTATGTGACTGACAGGTCAGACAATAAGACCTGGCTCCCGACTCATATATACCATGCCAAACGATTCCACATGTCAACGTTATGGGGTCACCGAATTCCTCTGACACCAACCTTGAAATCCTTCAGACCGGCATATCGTGCTTCACGTCGAAGAGCAACTTTACAAGATGTCAGCTTCATTGGGATCATCGAGATCTCAGGAAAACGAGCCCAGCTCATCACCCTCCTCGGCAGGATGATGGAGGGTCATTTTGCAGGCAATAAGTAAGCAGCTGTAGCTGCGATGTATTTTGAGCTGATTGCAAGGTACGAAACAGGAGCCAGAATGGCTAATGTTTGGGCTTATCATCCGGACACTTTCCCGGAGGGTCTGATAGGACCTGTCGGAATGGTTTGGGCTCCTGCTTTATCTCGACAGTCTCAATTGGAAGAGACGTTGAGTGGAAACAAGGGATCCATCGATGGAAGAACGGGTCCGGCAAATAAAGAAGATGATAAGCGATTGTGGATCAGGGCTCATCCGGCGATATTCGACCAGCTTTGGGGTGCTTTGCGTGTAGCCTGTGAAAAAAGTCGAGCAAAGGTCACCCTCAGTGACAAACGTGGGGAAGTTGGGGCTTTTGAGATTATGGGACCATTAGCAGGACAGGTCCTCACACGGGTTTTGAGCGCTTGTAAGACCAACTCAGGAGAAAAGAAACAGGTGAGTCCGATGTAGGGTACATGTAAACGATGAGGTGTAGACTGATGATAGTTTCTTCGGCAATTGGGACATGTTGGATCCTCGGGGGAGGTGCCAGAGGGTATGGTAGTGGGACTAAAAGTGGACGATCCTCGACTCAGGTATATATTCTTCCCCTTTCTTCCTCGTTAAATCATTTGAAAAGCTTTCCACCTCTAGCATATCTTCTATCATCCACTATGTGTCCCTGAGCCCAAAGCTTCCATTTGCTGATACATGTGGTAACCAAGCGAATGTCCACTCATACTGACCATCAGCTTCCCTCCACCAGCAGCTTCTACAAATACTCCCCCATCCCCTATGGACAACATCTCCCGGATATCTCCATTCACTCCTTCCCCATCACTCGCATCTACATCTTTATGGAACGCTATCCCTTCCAAACCGCGCTTTAAAAAATCTGATCTTGATCGTCGACGTCAACTCCAATCTACTCCCGGTACCCGTCTGATACCAACTGGCGAAGACGACAAAATACCTGTTACGATCACTCAACGATCTATCTCACCTTCATCATCTCTCCACCCAAACCTTGCTTTAGGGGGAACAAGTGAAGATCACTCATTACACGGTTTCACCCTTATCTTCCCTTCTGCCTTCTCAATGGCTTTCCTCCTATCTTTCATATATACAAATGTGAAATTGGTCGGTCTTGCCGAACGTCGAGCTCAATACAGGGAATGTGGTATCCCTCATTTCCCCGAACATTGGGGTGGGACATGTAAAGCTGGAATTGAATGGGAAGAAGAGAAAGCAAAAGAAGAAGCTGAATGGTGGAGTCGACGTCCTCCTGGTAAACGACCCGAATGGAGTGGATTAGGGATCGAATGTCCTTTTAAACCTAAATGGAGTTCAATCATTTCTCAAAATGGTTTACCTCGGAATTCTCCCATCAATCTTGAACTATCTCATGGTCCTTCAGGACAAAACGTGACAATGGAAGTTGATAACACTCCCGTAATCATGTCAAATGTGGATGTTCGAACAGACATCGAGGTCGAAGAGGAATATATCAATAATCCCCCTCTTTCTGATCAAAAAGATCCACTTCCAATAATCCTTCTCTCACCAACTTTAACGCCCCATCTCCCACGATTACAAGGAGTCAACGGACCTGAAGTATTTCAGAAGATGATGATGGCTTATCGTACTCAAAGACAAATGCCTATTCTGACGAAATCGGTTTTGGGAAGTTTGTGGGACAGGACGATGTTACACGTGAAAGTGGAGATGGTGGGACGGGGGAATCCTGGTGATATGGCTATCATCTATTCTTTATATTCTAAGGAAAGGGAAAAATGGGTGAAGGCGTATTCGGGAGCACTCCCTCTTCCCCATCACTCCAGTCTAGAACAATACTCCATCAACAGATCAGAGAATCCTACATCTGACATCACACAATCAAATCCTTTGGTCCCAACAGTCATGACAGCCAGCGAGGTTACAAAGCAGGATGAAGAAGTCGAAGCTTACAATGGGGTTTTGGTGGATGACGAAATGACTATAATAGAGAAAGAGGTGAAGAAAGAAGAAAGGATGCTTAAACTTGGTCAAGAACCTATGGACCGTACTAAAATCATAGGATGGGTTTTATCTGGTAATTTCTCTCTTGCCAGAGGAAAAGGATGGGGAATAGGGATGATAAGCCTTAAAAGTTATGTGAACGCAGTGAAGGTTTCATCCTCTATGATCAATGAGGGAGATGGTGATCAATCTAGTATGAATGTAGGACGGTCGTCAGGGGAGGAGAAGTCGATACATTTTGGTGAAGGGAAGCAGCAGTCGATAATTTTTGGAAAAGGGAAGGAAAAGTCGAAACGTCTTGGAAAAGGGAAAGAGGTAAAGGCAAGTAAAGGTAACGATATGAGTGAGTTGGAAGGTAAGGTTTTGGTAAAGGTTAGGAATAAGGATGGTAGGGTATGTCGTTTAGCTTATCTTTCTTTGATCTAGCTCGACATCTTCCAATGCATAGTTTAGTTCATAAGGTTGAAGTCATGCGATTCTCCACCTTGTTACCGATCATATGCACGTTAAATAATGTCTCGTTCATCTTCGATCCTTCTCTTCTTCCCCCTCCTCCCCCTCCCGCTCCTCTTCTGAGTCATCCTCATCTTCATCCTCATCCTCATCTTCATCTTCATCACTCACAAACGAAAACTTGATCATCCCACTAGCCAAAACATAAATCAACATACTGCTCATCGCACCAGCGTACCAAAACCATCTGACTCTGTCAAACTGTTTGTTCTTTCATCTTTCTCTTTCCTTCTTTCTTATCTCCCATTCCCCC